ACATGATTATAAAAAACTTACCTTTTTTGGATTTGTGTTTTAGGTCATCTTAAAAAAAATATTTATGCACTACGATTTATTAAAAATCCTAAACCCAATATTTTTGAAAAATATATTGAGTTAAGTTTTATTTAGTTTTGTAAATTATGTCAAATGTAAAGTTTATTGTAAAAATATATTTCTAAGAATAGTTTTTAAAGGTTTTTTAAGATAAATGGGAATCTTTAATTGAAGACCTTTAAAGAGATAAGGAATGTTAGAAAAACAATTTCTTCGATAGAATAAAATATAAGTGAATTCTTTAAATATACATTATTTTTCAATTTATTTAATGCATTAAATCAGAGATGCAATTAGGAGATAGTAAGCTCACCCCAAATGATTATTGATGTTTGAATTTTAGTCGTGATAAATTTTTTATTAGAAGACTTATTAAATAACGACTTTATTGGATTGTAAGTTACTATTGCTACCGGTTTATAACATAATAGGGTGTATACCGCACATTTTTTTCAGTTGTATTGTAGCTATATGTTTTATAGCTGGTCTATTAGAATGTGGTGGATAATATATATTTTTTACTGGATCATACATTAATAAACGTAAAGAAGATATCGAATCAAATTTGTTATCAAACAGCTATTTTTGAACCTTAAAATTCACTTATTGAGCACCATGTAATTATTCGGTAGTCTATTATTATAATAATTCCTATTCCTAATATTTATATTTAAGTTATTCCAGTTATCGTATTGCTAATTATTCTTATTGCTATTTATACAAATTTTATTAAAAGGTCTGTAATTATTCTTATTTTTCGTGTGAAGTAGCTCTAAATAGAACCATTATTGTTACTAATATACAATATTAAAAAAACGGTAGCACAGTATGGAAGTGATATAGTTGGGACAAGTATAGATGATATCTAACAGTGATTAAAATCACTATTATAAGAAACGCTTCGATGCAAATCTGTAGATACTGTTTAATTTTAAGAAATTAGTAGATTATTTCAAAAGCAACAATAACTTATTCCCTTAATTTTATCCCTATTAGTTATTTGATTTATAATTATAATATATAAATAATAATTATAGTAATTAAATTTAGTATGAAATTGATATTCAATAATTTAATATTGTAATTTTTACGGAGATATTATAAAAATAATAAAGTAGTTGTATATTTCTTTTTTTCTAATGTGTATAGAAATTTGATGGGATTGATATAAGACTTTTCATAAAAAATTTTTTGTTAAGCTGAACTATAAGAGTTTTTATTTGAATTAAAAATATACTTTTCTTAATCAACTTTTTGGGCTGTTTATAAATCTGCAATTAGAATTTTTCTATCACTTCTAATTTATAATATTATTATTCAATATTAAAAATTAATATTAACATGTGAAAAAACAATTAAAAATTTATTTTCAAATTATTACTAATTTTGTTTTAAAAATGTTAAAAATAACTAGTGTAAAATGTCATTTTTAACCTGTTTTTTTGGTCCTTAAATGTTGATTTTTGTGAAAGTTTATAGAAAAAAAAAAGTTGAATTTGTTACTATAACATTTAGTTCAACTTATTCAAAAAATATATACCAAATAATACGTAAAAACCTAATATATCTATAAAAAAAAAACTTTGTTTTTATTCATTTATTTTTCACAATGTTATGGAAGTTTTAAGTAAAAAATATTGAAAAATGTTCGAAAATAACCGATTTTTGAAATTGTAATTTTTTGGTGGATTTTTCCCATTTATATACTGTTATGCATCTCTTTATTAGTATTAAGTACTTTGATTTACAATAAAACTTAACATATTAATTAGAAAAGATAATGTGTAATCAAGTTGGTTAGGTTATAACAAACAAAACAGTGTTGCCACATAATACAACACAACACTTCCTCTCTTAAAACAATATATATAAAAATACTAATTAACACATAGACATATAAATTTTAAATTAAATTATATTATTATAAATTTATCTTTATAACAGGTTTCTTTGGTCTTCTTGAACATCTATGATTTTGTATAGTTTTTGTTGAATTGTTTTCTCANTGTATATTTTTGTTGAATTGTTTTCTCATATAGTGCTCTGCTCTTTTGTAGTTTCAACCGTTTCCTCTTTTGTTATTTTATCTTCTTTTACTTCTTCTGCTATTTTTTCTTCTTCTACTTCTTCTGCATCTTCCTCTTCAATCTCATATTTAACTTTCTGAATTTGGTTGGCAGGTCTCTTTCAAGTAACACCATTTGGTAGTTCCACAAGATACATGACATTTCCCAATATTTTTATAATTTTTTCTTTTGTCCATTTCTCTCCTGTATATTTCCTTACTAGAACTTTTTCATTAATATCAAAATGTCTAACTGTTTTATTGGTCTTTTGTTTTTCTTGATTTTCCCATACTGTACTTCGAATATTAGGTTTAATTAAATCAAACTTGTTACGAAGGTTCCTTCCAAATAATAATGTAGCAGGACTTTCTTTTGTTGTAGTATGTATTGCAATTCTATAGTCAAATAAAAATTGATTTAATTGTAGATTAACATTTATAAAAGATATTTTTTTTAAGAAATGATTTAGCAATTTTAACTCCACTTTCTGCTTGGCTGTTACTTTGTGGATGGTATGGTGATGATGTTCTTTGTTTAATACCATTTTTAGCTAAAAATTGTTTAAACTCTTAAGATAAAAATGGTGGTCCATTGTCTGTAACTAAATATTCTGCTATACCAAATGAATAGCTCTCTAAACTTGTTGATGGTATATTGAGTTGCTGTTGATGGTACTTGAAATACTTCTATCTATTTTGAATATGCATCTTCAATAACTAGAAATAAGCTACCCTTAAATGGTCCTAAAAAATCAGCATGTAACCTCTGCCAATATCTTTCTGGCCATTCCCATGTATGTAGATATGTTTTTTTAGGCATTGATCTCACATTCATGCATTTTCCACAATTTCTTGCTGTGCTGCTCTCAATGTCTTTATCGATGCCAGGCCACCATATGTGCATTCTTGAAATAAACTTCATTTTAACTATGCCTAAATGATTTTGATGGAGTTCCTTTAGCATTTTATCTCTGAGTTCTCTGGTATTACTACTCTGTGACCCCATATAATGATTTCTTGCTCCAAGTTTAATAATTCTTTTCTTAGTTTAAATGGTTCTAATTCTTTTTGCACTTGTTCAGGCCAACCATATTGTATATAGTATTTTACCTTACTTAATATCAGGTTTTTATTTGTTTCTGTCTTCACTAAAGCAGCATCCATGATTCTCATTTCATCTATATGGTGTAAGTATGTTATTTCTGGTGTATTTGCTTTTTCTACTTTGAGTGGCATTCTGGATAAGACGTCAGCACTGTTGCTTGCAGATTTGGTGAACCGTATATCAAAATCATAATTTGTTAAGAATAAAGCATACCTTTGTAGTCTTGATGCTGTCGTTGTTGGAATTCCTTTTTTAGATCCAAAAATGCTGATTAACAGTTTATAATCACATTTTATTGTGAATTTATTTCCATATACAAAATTGTTAAATTTGTGGATACCAAATATAATTGCTAACGCTTATTTATCCTATTTGGCTATAATTTTTCTCAGCAATATTAAGAGTTCTTGAAGCAAATTCTATAGGATGCTCTTGTTGTTTTTCATTGACTTGTGATAATATAGGACCAAGTCCATAAGTTGATGCATCACACATTAATATAATTGGTAGTTTTGGATCAAAATGCTTTAGGACCCTGTCTGATGTTATCTCTTCTTTGATTTTATTGAACGCCTTCACATAGTTATTATTAAAGTTAAATTTGGTATTTTTTCTCAATAAATTGGTAAGTGGTGCTAGAATGGTTGCTAATTTAGGTATAAACTTCCTATAATAGTTAATCAATCCAAAAAAAGCTTGCAAATGTTTTTTGTTTTTTGGATTTGGAATTTGAGTAATAGCTTTGATCTTAGCTGGGTCTTGTTTGCACCCGTCTTTGTTGATGATATAGCCTAAAAATTAAATTTGTTCTTTGAATAAGATACATTTTTCCTTCCGTACTGTCAAATTCATCTTCTTTAATAAAGTTAATACTTCCTCTAGGGCTTTCAAATGTTCTTGCTCATTATCACCAAATATTAATATTTCATCAAAATATATTTTGATGTTATTAATGTGTTTAAGCTTTTCACTAAATCTATTTAAAAATATTCCAACTGATGCATTTATACCAAATGGAACTCTGTTGTACACATAAATACCTTTATGCGTGCTTATGGCCGTTAACTCCTTTGATTTTTCTTCTAAACTGAATTGTAAGTATACTTGGCTTAGATCTATAATCGAAAACTTCCCTCCCGTTTTATAATTCCAACCATTAACTCCTCTATAATTGGAACAGGGGCTCTTTCTACTTTTATATATGGATTTACAGTTACTTTATAATCTCCACATATTCTTATATCACCTGATGGTTTAACTATTGGTACTATTGGTGTTCCCCAATCACTATATTTGACTTTATTGATTATACCTTCTTTTTCCAATCTGTTTAATTCAAGTTCAATTTTGTTCTTTAATGCTAGTGGTACAGCTCTATGTTGTAAAAATTTAGGTGTCACATTTTTTTGTAAAATAATCTTTATTTTTTCTCCATTGTACAGTCCTAATTTGTCTGTAAATACCTCTGGGTATTTATTAAATAATTGTTGTTCCATATTAATATATTTAATATATACAATGTGTAATCTTTTGACGTATCATTAAGAAAAATCGGTCCAGTGAGAACTGTGAAAAAGTAGTGACAGACACAAAAAAAAAACCCCATAATGTTTTATTAATAATAAAATAATAAAATTAATACCTTCTCTGCTTCGCATTGAAGTTAAAAAATTTAATTCATTTATTTTTACATAGAACACAAACCTAAATTGTACCTATGAAATATTTATGTTTCATTTTAAATTTATGTAAAGATGTAACATTTTTTAGTTTGATGAAGAAGAACAGCAAGTTGAAAGCCAATCATTTACAAAAGCTGGTAGAAAAAGATTGTTTTCAAAAGAATTACGTTGTATGATGTATGGGTTTGGAGATGATGAAAATCCATATACAGAAAGTGTTGACATACTTGAAGATCTTGTTATAGAATTTATTACAGAAATGGTATAGTAAAAATTATAAAAATATTTGGAATTTAGTTTCTATTGTGTTTTGTTTGTTTTATTAAGACTCATAATGCCATGGAAATTGGTCGATCAGGTAGAGTTCAAGTTGAAGATATTGTTTTTTTGGTAAGAAAAGATGCAAAAAAATATGCAAGAGTTAAAGAATTGTTAATGATGAATGAAGAATTGAAAAAAGCAAGAAAAGCATTCGATGAGGGAAAATTTGCAGGAAAAGGTATTTTATATATATTTTTTTGATAAAAATATATTAATTTATTTTAATTATTTTTATGTTTTGGGATTATAAGTATACTATCAGAAATGATATTTTTTTAATTTATTGACAAAAAAAAGTTGGGACAAATATATATGATATCCAATAATCATTACTATTACTATCATAAAAAAAGGTTTTATGCGAATCTATTAAATTTCACAATAAATTGATTATTTGTAATTTCACAATTTTTTTTTCCAATTTTGCACAAATATTATATGCTTGTTGAATATTTGCATAAAATAATTGTTTGCAAAGTTTCTTTTTTTGGAATATGCAAATTTTTTTACTTTGACGGCTTATTTTTCATAGAAGAACTGTGGAAACAAATTTTTTTTATATTGTAGTACGTTTTAAGAACTTGAATTTGGTATAGGGTAGAGAAACGCAGTCATTACAGAAAATTTTATATTAAAATATCTTATTTTAGTTTGGTTCTTACATTTATACAGTTTTTTAAAGATTGTGAATATTTGATTTTTGCAATACATTTCTGATATTAAACTTAAATTTATGTTATCTAAAGGACAGAAAATACTTTATCTTGTTATGTTTGATACTAGCAATAGTAAATAGCAAATGAGTAAAACTAAAACTATAAGTATAGTTNGTTTGATACTAGCAATAGTAAATAGCAAATGAGTAAAACTAAAACTATAAGTATAGTTTTTATAGCTAATGATATTAAGCATTTAAATTATTCATAAAAACAATTTTTAGTTAAATTTTTTATTTAATTTTATAAATACATATTGAATAATTTATTTTTATGAATTGTTTCAGGAAATGAAGGTTCTGGAAGTAGTAACAATTTAAGCAGTATAAATAAATAAATAAATTTAAAGCTATATGACAATTATTATAGATTTTCCATTGTATGAATATGTGTTTTATTTTACATATACACTAATATAAGTTTTTTTTTTATATAGTTAGTTTCTATGTTTAAGATTTTTAGAAATCGATTAATTTTTATGTCAAATTTGTTTTATTTTAAAATGTTTTACTAGTGAGAAATATAAGTTATAGACATATAAAATAAAGTCAAATACATTATAGGTTATATTTAAAATGAAGAGGAATTTAAACCTCATATTCAATAATGGTTAAAAGTTTTTAAATTTAATAAAAAAAAAATTAACTTTATATAAATATATTTTAATATTTAACCGTCCCCTTTGTAAGAAAAAGTGTTAGATATTTAAAAAATAATAGTGTTAAAAAAGAACAATCTATAGTCTCGGTTTTTTTTTTTTACTTAAAACCTCTATTAAACAAAAACCCATTTTTAATTGAAAAAAATTTGGCCTGCAGTGTTTCTGTTGAAAGGTGGTTTCACTATATAATAAATAAACCCAACAAAATATTAAATTTAAATATAATTCATATTTGCAAATGTAAAATGTTATAAATCTAAATATTAGATATTTTAAAAGTTAAACATTTATGTACAGTAGTCAGAAAACAATTTTACACTTTAGCTAAAATAAATCATAATGATTACTATAACTAAAATAGTAATAGCCATACCACCATACATAATGTAACGATCTTCTTTTAATCTTTTTTCAATGTACTTCATGGTAGTATTAGATAACTTTAGATTGCCAAAAATTCCAGACAATCTATTACGTGTACTTGTTAAACGATCTCTCTGTTCCCGTAAGCTCTGTAATATACTAACACCAGACCCTAATAAATCATCAACTCCACGATGAGTGCTCTAAAATTTTTTCATACATATAAATATTTATTTAAAAATCATTAATCAAAAATACCAAACAAAATGATTATACAATAATTGTAACATATAATATTAATTAAATTAATAATGATCTAGGGATAAATAGTTATGAACATTATACAAACATTTTTAGATAACAAACTTTCCTTATAAAAACATTTTTCAAAAATCTGTGTTAATATTAACCAAAAATAAACGCTACATTTATTTATTAGAAAAATGTACAAATATCTTTAATATCACTATAACCATAACATTTATTTCAACTATTTATGGAAAACTATTTAACAGAATTAACTGAGAGAATCAGTACGATGAATGAAATAAAAATAAAATATTAATAATTTAAATAAAAAAGATGATTCAGTAGAAGTTATTTTTATTTTTGATTATTACATAACTGTCTATTAACTTAGAAAAGGAGTTAAAATTTTTGATTGAAGCATTTTGAGTTTCATAACAGTTTAACCAATATTATAATTTCAATGAATTCACCAACATAAAAATAAATATACAGAGTGATTTTATTGCCATTAACAACTTATAGAAGATAGAAATAATACTGAGAATTTTTTAATTTTTAGTTACACGTGTTTCTCAATTTATTAATGAAATATTTTTTATGCTCTCACAAGGATACTAACATTATTTAATGGGAATAATTTACTTGTTTATTTGATAATGATCCCTTTAGACAAAGTACTGTTGATAACAACTTTTATACCAGTATTTTAGATATTATTAACTTAAACCACATTTCTTTTCCTATCCTAATGTTATTAACTTCAAATATACTGTCAAAGATTTTCAGAGACTAATAATTTTCTTAATAAGATCGTTTTATTATATAATCTTATTAAATAATATTTAATTTCATATATTTAACAAACATAGTATGTATGTTGCTATTTAAAATAATTAAAGGATAAACTAAAAAGTATTTAATAACCGATACATTAAGAAAAAAATGTAACTAAAAGAAATAAAAAATAAACCTAAAATATATCTATTTTATGATTAATCAAGTGATTATAATAAAATTGCCCTGGACCAGCATTGGGAAAAAAAACTATTTTTTCAAAATAAAATAAAAGCATGTTTTTTATGTATTAAAATAATAAAAAAATACAATACTAATACAATTATTAAAATAAAAATTAAGTACATATAATATAGCTATAAGAAAACTATATAAAGAATTCAAAACTTGTAGATAATAATAATTTAGAACTTAAGTCAGTATGTAATAAGCGTTGATAATAATATAGTTCCTGAGATGGATGCATAATTTTTTTTGTAATTTTCGTGGGTTTGCAAATTAAATATTTTTAGCTTCGATGCGAAGCTGAGAAGGTATTGGTTTTACTATAATGTGTTTTTTTTTGTTGTGTCTGTTACCACTTTTTCTTAGCTCTCACCAAACCGATTTCTTTCAACAATACGTCAAAAGATCACAAATCGTATTTAGTCGAACACATTACCCTCAAAAATTGAAAAAATCTCCCTCGTTCCCTATAAATGGAGGAAACCTCCAAAAAAATTACAAATTTAAAAATCCCTAATTTTCAAAATAATTTTTAATTTTTTTTTCTTAAAACTGCCATAACATTTTCAAAAATGAACAATTCAATATAATTTTTTTTTTAATGATGCTTGATGTCTTTACCTATCATTTTGTATATATATTTTTTTTAAATTTGACCCTTTACCTGCCCACAGGGGGGATTTAAAATGACAACTTTTTCAACTTAACTTTTGAAAGTGTTCCGGAAAGTTTGACACTTTTATATATATCTTAAATTAAAGCTAATATAATGTACTTTATTATGAAAAAAAAAAAATTTCGGACTTTTTTTGTCTTCATGGTTGGGTTTGGTGAAGCCTAATCCAACCAAATGCTATTTTTGTGTGAAAATTCTCAATTTTATATTTTAGATTTTTAATTTTATAATTTATTGAAAAGTGTATGGATCAACACAATTTTTTTATGAGAAATAATATTTATATCCCTTTTTCATTCGACATACTTTATCTTAATCAGGATATTAATAAGGAACTAGCAGATAATGTAGCTTTTGGAATAATACACCAATTTTTTAAAATTAAACACTATCCAAAGATTTGCATCGAAGCGCNAAATTAAACACTATCTAAAGATTTGCATCGAAGCGCTTTATTTTGATAGTGATTTTAATCACTGTCAGATATCATTATACTTGATCCAACTATGCCACGTCACCACTGTGCCACGACCCTCCTGTGTTGGGTTTTTTTAGTTTTAAATTTTAAATGTAAGAAAACCGATTGAGTTTTTAAAATTTTTATATTAGTACTACTACCAACAACTACATTATTTTATTTTTTATCTTGGTTTATGATTGTCATTTAACATAAGCTATCATTATAACATTATACATATATATAAATATATATGTAGTATTCATTTCAGGTGTACTATAAATATCACAACTTTCCCATTTCTCGTTTGTTATTTTAAAATTGTTCACTAGATATCAATTATTATTAATATTTTTTATTTGAAAATTTATTTTACATTTAAAAATTTCAAAAGGTCGGTTGGTTTTGTGATACTATTTGGGTTTATTAATAGAGGGGCATATCCTAAAGCTGAATGCAAACATTGCAATAAAGTGATAATGGATTTAACAATAAAATTAAAAAACATATTGAAGGCAGTCCTACAAAACAAACATTTTTATATCAGTTTAAAGTTAGAAAATATTTGTCATCTATAATTTTCAATACCATTTTATTGTACTCTAATAATTTTAACTTATAATCATAGATTATAAATAAATATTTATTTTATTATAATATCACAGTAAACTTTTTCAATTGAATTTTATTATTACTAATCAACCTTATGGTATTTATTAAATAACTAATTTTAGGTCTTTTATTACCCTTGCTAGATTGTACTACACAAAAAGCAATTATCTATACTAGAATAATTATTCACAGAAATAAATTAAGTAATAACTAAAAACTCATATTTATCAATACTTATGTTTAGAAAATTAAAAATATTTTATTAAAATTTGAATGCTATCATTATCTTATCCAAACCTTGTTATATTAATAATATACCTGTAACGAGTTTTGATGTTGTATAGTATGATCAATAAGTATGGTCGTATCATTTATGTCTGGATTTCTAGTAAATCGCCTATTTAATAATTCTTCTCTTTCCTGTTCTGCTCTTAATCTACGGAGTTGATTTTGTTGGTGTGTTTTCAGAGCTATCTAAAATAATTTAAATGTATTTACAACAAAAAATTATAGCATATTTTTACTTGTAGGTGTTGATAGTCATATTTTAATTGATCAACACGCAATTTAGCATTATTACGCCTGGATATAGGTTCTTTATTCACAAGGATGACTAGTTGTTCACAATTTCTATAGAATATTATAATATAAAATCTTATTACTTTCTGTTAAAAGATGATAAAGTTAAAATTTTAACAATTATACCTCATACCTAGAAATAGTTGATATCTTAGACTGAATATCATTTTCAACCGCTTCAGATTTGGAACTCTCTAATCTATGAAATAGTTCTTGGGTTTCCAAAATAAGGCGATTCGTTTGATGATATAAATTTTCCATTATTTATTATTAACAATTATTAACAAGATCTATGAAAAGAAACCTTAAAGATATGAATAAAAAGCTCAGACATAATTAAGAGTTGAAATTTTTACAAAAAAAAACTACTAATTTTGTACTTGAAAGTAACACAATTTTAGACAATACTTCGTTTAATTTTTAAATTTTGATAACACGTAGCGATTTATCAGTGTAGCCAAATAATATATTCTAAATTGAACTAAATCATATAATTTACTTATCTAGTATCAAACAAATTCTTTAGCTTTTTATCAGACATTTTTACTCCTGAACATACTCCATTTTATGAATATGTATAGATTTTATGGATTGTTATTTAAAATACTTTTTATGGGGAGCTTAGACCCCCAGTTTACAATTTAGCTACCCTAGAAGTTTAGCAAAATAATTTGCATTCATAATTAAAGTTATTTTTTGGGCGTCAAAGTTTAGCTAAACCCCCCACCAAAGTACTTAACAACTGTACGCCTACCCATGTCGTGTCATATCACGAACTTGTTAGTAACAAGTTCGAATCGTTAGCACAAAACTGAAGATATAAGTATTCTAAATAAAAATCCATTATATTCATCATTAGGTTGGACAATATTCATTTGGAACAATTATATCCATTTTCTTTACCATCATACATTTTTTTAGCTTTAATGCAAAGCTGAGAAGGTATTTATTTTCTTTTAAATCTGTTTATAAAAATTCTCAGCTTTCACTGGTCAATTTTTAAAAAAAATTTATTTTCGATTTTTTTAAACTATGCCACGTCCCCTTTTTATTGCGACCCAAATATGCTTAGTTATTTATTTTTGTTATATTTTTCATTTTACATATAAGATTTTTCAAAACTATTTCATTTGAAAATTTATAAATTTCATTTATACAAAAAATCTATAAAATTATTCCAGCTCATCGCATTTTATGATAAATAGATTATATAATATATATATATATATTATAATATAAATTTCATAGTTAAAAAATTATAATTCATTACAAAATACATTTCAAAATAGTATTGACTTAGATATAAAGGTTGGCAAAATTGTATTTTTCAAGTAGTATCTTTCATTATATAGTTAGTAGCAAGTATATATAAGTAATACAAATGATTCTTAAGGTCAGGTAGAAAATATGATATTTCCATTGTAAAATAGTAGAGAATGAAAGAACTGGGAGTAAAAAAACACCGACATAACATGGCAGATGCAATTTCGTCAGAGCAAAATCCCAGGTTATAACCCTCCTTTGCCATTAACAGAGTAATATCGTACAAACTGAAAAGTTATAAGGAAAATAACAGCGTACAGAGAAAATATTTTTTCAATATTTTACTATATCACTTATAACTGAAATATTTAATTGCCCTAAAATTACAACTAAAAAAAATACTCTATTGTATGAGCTGTTATCTGGATAACAATATTAAATAGCGAATCGTCTACTACTTTTATAAATAAAGAATAATCATCAATTATAAATTGTAATTTAAATATTTACTATAAATTTCATTGTTCATAATTACTTACAAAGAACCTTTATCTTAATTATCTAATACAGAAGGTATATATAATCCTTTTAAATTTGTATGTATCCACATTTGCTGAATTTGTAACTTCTTGAATAAACAAGGTTGTGATAATATTTTTAACATACCTAAGCACGTTATCATTTACTGTAATTTAATTAAATTTTTATTCGATCTAATAGGAGCATTTTTTATCAATGTCGGTTTGACACTGCTTGTTGTCCAGCATTCGTTGGTATCTCTAAGATAGTTTTTAAGTATAGGGCAAATGAGCTATGGACGCCGTTAAGCGAGCTAGTTAACCTGGGGTGTGGAGGGTCCCCCCTTTTTTTTTTTTTCCTCCTTCTCGACTTTAATGTGGATCGCCCTGGAACTGCCGTTAGGCATTGCTTCAGGGCGGCTGGAGGGTCACCCCACTACTCGACAATATTAACTAGTATTAGTCAGAAAATTTTCAATATACAAAGATGCAAAAAAATTTTTTTTTTAAATTATTCGATTGATAAAAATAATTAATTAATATTATTAATATCTAAGGTATCTATAAAAAAAATTATGTTGACTTGTTCACTTCTAAAATAATTATGGAAGTTTTAAGAAAACAAAATTGAAAAAATGTCGAAAATTACCGATTGTTTAAATTGCAACTTTTCGGAGGATTTCTCTCATTTACGGGGAACAAGGAATTTTTTCCATTTTTGAGGGTAATGTCTTCAACTAGATACAATTGGTGATCTTTTGACGTTTTGTTTATGAAAATTGGTCCAGTAAGAGCTGAGAATGAGTGGTAACAGACACAAAAAAAAAAACACATCATAGTAAAATTAATAACTTCTCAGCTTCGCATCGAAACTAAAATCGATGTCCAAAGAACCCAAATTATTCTTAGTTGAAGACATTATCCTCAATAATTTTTTAAGCGAAAATATTTCAAAGAATTGTTGAAAACTGAGGATTTTGTTTTTAGTAATTTGTAATTAAAAAAAAAAAGGAATAAAAAGCAATTTTTTCTAAAGAAATAACTAAGAAATGTTCTTTCTACCGATGTACCTTTATTGAAAATCTAATAAGAAACCTAAGAATAAGAAAGGTATAAACATAATGTAAAGTTACATAAAAACAATTGTTTTCAAATCATTTCAATTTTTGAAAATATTCCAAAGAACTATTGTGCTCTAAACCTATACAGCAGAATGGTTATTTAACTATAACACATGCAATATCTTAAAAAAATATAGAACATAATATATTTTTTCTTTTCGGAAGTTAACACGTTCTATAATTTTCAAAAAATTCAATCCTGTTCTCTTGACCCTTAAAAATTTTATTAACAATAGTTTTTAAAATATAAACATATTTTTTTCAATTTTAAGTTAGATTTTTTTCTTATTTACTCGCCAAAAATCTTTCTTTTATTTTAATATAATTTTACAATAAACTTATCTAAGCAAAAGGAATGCTTAAAGAAAACAACTATAGGCCAAACTTCTACGGAGAAAATAGTCAACTAGTAAAGGTATGTTTTTTTTTTATTAAAAAAGGTAGAAAGATCATACATTTTATGTATGATTTCTACGATAAAATTCAGTACACGCGTTACTACTATGTCTAAATATTATTTAATTTTAGTTTATATCTATGTATTGAAGCATCATTCACGCAATAATAAAATGTACAGCTACATTTTCAAGAGATTAATGTTTAAAATTAAAATAGCCATTAATTTAATGATAACACGTAACTGGCATTTGATAAATTTTTCTAAAGAAATTAAACAATAATTTATATATGTTTAATAATTTCCATTATGGAAAAAATCTACTATACACTTGAAAATTAGGATTTTTTTAGAGCTTGAAGCAAATTGGTGGCGTCGAGCGAACGTAACGAGCTGGTACCAAAATATTAAGTGTATTAAGCTGAACATCTACTAGCTCGGTGGCTCGGCCCAGGATGACGTGTGCCGATTTTGAGGATTCAACTGAGCAAGGAGAGTAGTGCAGCGCTGTGCCGACATTCTAGTTAATGGATGTGTATTTATGAATGAAAAAATTAAATATCATCAAGTCACACATACAATCGACTTATATAATCAATAATCAAAAGTATACAAACATAAGTCGTAAGATAATTTAATAAAACAATTATTGTACAAAATATATTACTTTGCTCACATCTAAAAGACTTTAGACTTGTAAAATGTACAAAAAAAATACAATTTCCCTAAACTGTATAAATAAACTAATAAACTAAACTGTATTATAATATTTGAATAAATAACTGAGTCATTTGTATTATAGTCTAAATGGCAATGCGGGTATATCTCAAAGTTGTATAATTCATACATATCCCTGGGAATTGGAAGATCTAAGCTTGTCCTATGCGGGTCGCCAGCTCATTTAGGGTTGCCGCCCGCATTGAATACTTTAGAAAGACTATAACCCCCCGAAAATTAACCCTGATTGAACCCGCACGGGCCTGTTTTCTACTAATTCATATTTAATATTATTAAGAGAAGTTCCACTAATGAATCTTTTTGAAATTTTGTGGGAACCACAAACAAATCGATGAAAAAATATATTTCATAAGTAATATGTATACAAATAATTTAATTGTATTTTTATTTATCTTATATTTTTATTCTTTATAAATTTCAAAAATTCTCTAAATTTAAAAAAAATAATAATAAAATTAATCTGGTGCAGTACGTTAATATTAATAAAAAATTTGTGTTCTTGATATTTAATAGAAAATTTGATATTATACTTATTTCCCAACCAATTTAAATTTTATATGCAAGTAAAAAAAGTGAAAAACTACAGAATTCATAACAACTTAAAAAAATAGCATAATATGTTATTAGTAAACATAACAACATAGCACAAATTTTTTTAAATTTAACAAAATAATATACTTTAGTTACAACTTAAATTAAAATATTAATTTAAGTTAACCTAAACATTAAAGATTATTCACTTATATAAATTAAATTATTTAATTAAGATTTGAATCAAGTAATTAAATATGACTATTATTTTAATTAAAAAAATGTAGTTTACAACTTTCTTAAGAATAAGCTTAAATAGACTATCAGACGCTTGAAATAACAATTAGATAAATATGAGAAAAATAATTTGGTATGGAGCAAAACGGGAACATGTCAATATTTATAACTCGAATATCAATTCTCTGATACCCGAAAATCAGCCAAATAAGTATTTCTACCGTCTGCTTTTAAAATATTTTGTTTTTGGGTATCAAAATACTTTTAAATATTCAATTGATTTTTTTTTAATTAAAGATGGTTAAGGGACTTTTAATATAATTTTTTTATAACAAATAATTATTCATCGAAAAATTAACGATAATAAATAAATAAACTAATTGGAACTATGAGGGGTATTCAAATTAAGAGCACAAAAGGGAAGTTATTTTTTAATCATTTTTATAGTACAAAAACTATTAATTTTAGATGATTTTTCTTAATTACTACTTGATTAAGTAAAGAAAAATAATTTTAAGTTATAATGTATTGAAATTTGAATATAACTGCTTAAAAAATGTTTATGATCGTAAAAATTACCTATAGATAGTTTTATAAATCCAACCTCATATATTATAATTTTAAGGTATAAGGGAGGAGGATAAAAAGTACTTTGTGATTGATAAATTCAGAAAAACATGTATCTAAAAACTAAAAAAAAAAATCTTAATATTATTGTTTTCGATTAATTAAGTGGTTCGTGATAAATAATTCATCCCATGAATTATTTTACTAATTTTACTAAAAATTTCGTGACAAATAAAACGCCCAGTTTTCACCTACAATAATGGTAAAAACCACATTATTGTAAAAAAAAAAATTAATTTTTAAGATATTACTTCTCCACGATTCATGTAATGAATTACATTAATGTAATTAATGTAATGAGGTGGTTAAGTAAAAAAAGTTTCAAAAGACCAAATAAACGAATTATTTTTATCTAGTGATCAATGTGTCTTTTCAATTTAAAATTACAATAAAGTAATAAAATAATACATATGGATATAAAATGTATACCATTGAAAGAACTAGTAATAACATAAGGACTAATAAAATTGGTAATAGAAAATTCAAAATTTGACTAGAAGTACCTTTTTATAAAAACTATTCTTTAGTACATTATTGTGTAATAATCTTTTATTTATTTAATTTTTCAACCTTAATTCTGGACTAAGAACAACGTTACAAATACCAAAAGATACTAAATGATATAAGTAACAATACAAATAATTTTTTTTAATTAAGCATAGATTACTCTGAAAATTGGTTCGCAACTTATCCCGGAACACAAAAAAATATATATATATATAATTTTGATTTATTTACTACAGTATACGTAACTTTGATATTATCCAAATTATTAAATAGTAAAGCTATAATTAAAATATATTTGTAATTTAGACGAAATTATAAATTAATATTAATTAGATCTTATCACACATTTATTAGATTAATATTAGCATGAAATTAATTGTAAGTAATATCAATTAAAGATATAAACATTTTTTTAATTCTTGACATTACACCGAACATGGAAAATTCCAAATATGCGACCAAAAATTAGGTACCTAATGATATATTAGACTGTTCGTTTACGTTGAAATTACTAATGCTCATAATAAAATACAGATAATTATACAAAGCTTTATAAATTATGTAAGTAACTGTTCAAAGAATTAGGTACTTTGAATATCTAGATAAAATAGTTATCCCTTAAATTAAACCGGTCAACAAAAAACACTTGATGCGCGTTATTATAGAAAGGTCAAGATGTCGTCACATAATTGTGTGTGTTCAACATCGAAAATCTAGTCGGTAGCAACAGACCCAGGAATATGGATGAGTGTGGATCTAGTCATGTCGAATAAATATAAAAAGCATGTCACAAGACGCACACCCATCGACAATCCCGTCCGGGCCGTACATGACGGCAATGTGTAATTGAAGACGTCCACGCGGTTCTAACGTATGACCTCTGAGCTCAGACAGCAACGACCGCCATAGAGTACATGGACATATATCAGAACCTATAATTGATGAAACAAACCCGATTTGGTGACATGTTTCAACTGTACTAGTCAGAAAAATATTTTAATCAAATTTGCGCTAAATAAAGTGTGTTATAAGTAAAATAAATAAGCCCAATATAAAATTAGTTGCGTAAAAAATACTTACAGTCATATGTAATTAAGCAACGTACGTACAACACACAAACAATAAAACAACGTTTCTGAATACTGTCGTTTTCTCCGCCGGTTATTCAACGGTCGATTGATGGCATATTGGAGGGGAATGGCGGCGGCACAGGTTAAGAAACATTATAAAATGCAATTTTAACATGTAAATAGAAAAGAGGAGTAGTAGAAGATATGAAGCTACGCAAAACGTACATGGTATATGCGTGAACAATGAAGGCCAAGTGATGGCAGAACGGCAACATGAAGGTACGGGTGAGATTGCTTAGTGAACCGATAATGCGGACACGCGGCATAGTGGGAATTTGGGGAGTTACGAAATTCAACGGTCACTGGTCGGAGTTTATTTCATAAAGAGAACTCGTTATAGCGCCACTTTCGCGTGAAGTAGTTTCATATTCCATGATTATTTAAACACAGGCAGTCATATAAATAATACGTGTAAATTCACCTGAAGCTACCTATTTGTTAATTCTATTCACTCCCCAGTACTTATAGTTGTATTTTAGTAATAGGAAGGTACAATGTTTAAAATTGTCAATATTAAAAAACCCAGCACAGGAGGGTCGCGGCACAGTGGTGACGTGGCATANAAAAAACCCAGCACAGGGGGGTCGCGGCACAGTGGTGACGTGGCATAGTTGGATCAAGTATAATGATATCTGACAGTGATTAAAATCACTATCAAAGAAAACGCTTCGATGCAAATCTTTAGATATNGTGATTAAAATCACTATCATAAGAAACGCTTCGATGCAAATCAGTAGATAGTGTTTAATTCTAAGAAATTGGTGGATAATTCCAAAAGCTACATGATCTGCTAGTTCCTTATTAATATTCTGATTAAGATAAAGTATGTCGAATGAAAAAGGGATTATTAAACAATGTTATTTCTCATAAAAATATTGTGTTTATCCATACACTTTTCAATAAGTTATAGCATTATAAAATTAAAAATGTAAAAAATAAAATCGAGGATTTTCACACAAATAGCCATTTTCACCACAAAGACAAGTCCAGAGGTCAAATTTTTTTTTTCAAATTAAAGTATATTACATTAGCTTTAATTTAAGATATATATAAAAGTGTCAGACCTTCCTGAACACTTTCAAAAGTTAAGTTGAAAAAGTTCTACTTTCTATATGCATTTTTCAGATTTGAACACCCCCCGTAAGGAAATAGTCTGATTTAAAAAAAAAAATATGTCGAATGAAAGATGTATATAAATACTACTTCTCATGAAAAAATTGTATTGATCCATACATTAAAAAAAAAAAAAACGGTAGCACAGTGGGGTCAAGGCACAGTGTAGACAAGGCATAGATGGGACAAGTATAGATGATATTTGACAGTGATTAAAATCACTATCATAAGAAACGCTTCGATGCAAATCTGTAGATAGTGTTTCATNATCTGACAGTGATTAAAATCACTATCATAAGAAACGCTTCGATGCAAATCTGTAGATAGTGTTTCATTTAGAGAAATTGATGGATTATTCCAAAAGCAACATCAACTCTTATTTCTTTAATTATATCATGATTAGTAGTTCTTTGATTTTAAAATATAATATATGAATAAATACTAATTATAATTATTAAATTTAGTATGAAAATAAAAAAGTAAAAAAAATTTTATAAGTTTAATTTCTTATGTCATATGACCTATATTCTATGTCAATTAAATTATATAATATTCATGAAAGTCAATATATTCTCCTAATAAGATATTTTAAAATAAAATAAAATACAAAACCTAGAATTTTAAAAGAAAAATAGCATATTTTTGAATACGGTAGCCATTTGCGCATAGAAGATAGGTCGTCGGGACAAATTTTTTTTTTCATTTTGTAGTACATAAAAAAAGCTTTAATTTGATATATGTTTAAAGGACGCAGTATTTCCGGAACATTTTCAAAAGTTCAGTTGAAAAAGTTCTATTTTTTATACAATGTTTCAAAGTTTGAACCCCCCCTATATAAGGGGAAATTGTCTAATTTTAATAAAAAGTATGTCAAATGGAAGATGTACTTATAATGTATTTAGAAAAAAAAAATTGTGCTGATACATGCATTTTTCGAAAAGTTATAGCATTTTTAAGTTGAAAATTAAAAATCGAAAATCGAAAATTTTAACACAAAAATAGTGTTTTTTTAACTACGGCAACCGTTTACATGCAGAAGATAAAGTGTCGGGACAAATTTTTTTTTTTCATTTTATAGTACATAAAATAAGCTTTAATTTGATATATGTTTAAAGGACGCAGTATTTCCGGAACATTTTCAAAAATTAAGTTGAAAAAGTTAGTTTTTGTAAAAAAGTTGCTATTTTAAATCCCCCCCAATGAGCAGGTTAAGTGTTAGATTTTCAAAAAAATGATAGCAAATGAAATGGAAATATCTAAGGTTTTAGTATAAAAAAAAATTATGTTGATTTGTTTATTTTTGAAAAAGTTATGGAAGTTTTAAGAAAAAAAGAGAAAAAAATGACAAAATTTACCGATTTTTAAATTTTTAATTTTTTTGGATATTTCCCCCATTTGCGGGGAACGAGGGAACTGTTTTCAATTTCTAAGGGTAATGTGTTCAACTAGATACAATTTGTGATCTTTTGACGTATTATTGAAAGAAATCGGTCCAGTGAGAGCTAAGAAAAAGTGGCAACAGACATAAAAAAAACCCAGCACAGGGGGGTCGCAGCACAGTGGTGACGTGGCATACATGGATCAAGTATAATGATATCTGACAGTGATTAAAATCACTATCAAAATAAAACGCTTCGATGCAAATCTTTAGATAGTGTTTAATTTTAAAAAATTGGTGGATTATTCCAAAAGCTTCATAATCTGCTAGTTCCTTATTAATATCCTGATTAAGATAAAGTATGTCGAATGAAAAAGGGATTATTAAAAAATATTATTTCTCATAAAAAAATAATGTTGATCCATACACTTTTCAATATGTCATAGCATTATAAAGTTAAAAATGTAAAAAATAAAATCGAGAATTTTCACACAATAATAGCATTCGGTAGCCATTTTCACCATGAAGATAAAATAAAGTCCGAAATTTTTTTTTTTCATGATAAAGAATATTACATTAGCTTTAATTTAAGATATATATAAAAGTGTCAGACCTTCCGCAACATTTTCAAAAATCAAGTTAAAAAAATTAATTTTTTGTGAAAAAGTTGTCATTTTAAATCCCCCCTTGTGGGCAG